TTTTTATCTCCAGATCATAGGCAAAACACAACTCGCTATAAATGATATCTCGCTTAACATTTGATAGACACTTATTTTATATTTAACACCGTTTGTACTGCAGTACAAGGTAAGATATTCCAGATATTGTCACTTGGTACATTTCTTTTATTCAGAGTATACTAATGCCGTCTGGCAATCAAATTCAAGTACACGGTTTCATGTGCGAGACACGACTTTTCAGCTAACTTCTTAAACATAAGGACATTTAAGGTGTAATGACGAATTTAATAATAAGAATTGTTGAGCAATTTTGCAGCCTTTTTTTTTTTTTTTTTTTTTTTTTTTTTTTTTTTAACAGAATGAAAAAGGAAGGTAAAGATCATACGCTCTTTTGATTCCGAATGCGTTAAAGTTCTACTGGTAGCAGGGCCGTCTTAAGGAATTCGGCGCCCATGGGCTACTAAAAATAATGCGCCCTTCTTCCTAAGAAAATACACAGAATGGCAAATGGGAGTTGGGAAAGTTATACAAAACAAAAGTGTCAGAACTAGAAAAAAACTATTTATTACTTTTATAATAAACTGTTATCTTTATTGTAACTTTTCTTTAAAATCACTTATTTAAAAGATGGGTATAAATGTTTACACAGATTTGAGGGGATATCTCAATAATGACAGTTCCGATCAGTTTTTTTAGTCTAATCCTTAGAACTTGATCGGAACTATTATATGATTCTCCATCAGTGCCTAACATAAACAAAAATAAAATTTAATTAAATAAAAAACCATTTAGAACAAAAACACACTTAATCTAAACAAATGTAACTTATATATTTACTTTCCTAGCTTTTTCTTTGGCAAACTGATCAATAATATCACTAGTATTTAAATTTTCAAATAAATCTCTTTCAATAGACAAATGCTTAAATCATTGAGTTTACTCTGTCCCAAAGAAGATCGTAAGTAATTTTTTATTCTTTTGATTGCTGAAAATGATCTTTCGCCACTGCAGTTTGTTGTGGCGATACTTAAAAATATGCGCAGTGCTGTGGTTACGTTTGGAAATGTAGATTCAATTTTTAACTCGATTATTGTCTTTAAACTTAGTTATGCGATAGATATATTTTCGGTATTTTCCAATAAATTCACATGTTTAAAATGTAGGCATTCTTCAATAAAGTTATTTTCTAAATCATTCTGATATATTTCGCACAACTTTGCAGCATTATTTCTAATTATGTCTTCATTTATATTTTTTAAATTAACTAGAAACCCAAATGTTGAATAAATGTCAACATAAAATGCACATTTTCTCTTTTGTACTTCTGCTAGAATTTTATCAATAATAGCATAATATGTTTTATGCGGAATTCGTCATTTGCATCAAGTTGCACTTCTTCCGACGTATTTTCGTCGAAAACTGTCTTTTTCTTTTCCGTAACCGTTTGTATTCATAACAGCCAGATAATTTTATACCTTCTGATTTGTAAAGGTTAAACGAATCTATATTTCGTTTCGATGGTACAAATTTTTCTAAAGAAGCATATAATGAAACAATGCATTCAATTGTAATATCAACTTTTTGAAGCGATATATTAGTTTTATCGATGGTTTCCAATATTTCACTCCAAAATGCTATCATAATAGCAGTTTCCAATGAGTTGAACTCATTTAACAACCCCTGGGCTTCAACTTTTGTTGCAGGCTTTTGAAAATTATCTTCGTAAAGTTTAGTTAAAGCATTTTTAAAATTTTCATAGCCCGAAACCACTACTTTCACTGAATCAGTGTATGTAAAAGGAAAAGCACTTACCTTAGGAAGATAATAATATAATTTAATAATTTCCACTTAAGTTTTCAATTTTTAATTCACCTTATTCAGTCGACAAATACTAAAATTATATCAATTTACTTTTGTCGTGCAAATCTATATTAAGGTACGCATCAGTGACCCCTTTATGTTCCTATCTTTTATCAGGATTGTTAAAATAATACAATTTACGTTTAGATAATGAATATGCCCTGGCGACGCGGTGAGTATATGTAGGTGGTCTTATATAACTCCAGTACAGCTCCCACAGTTCAAATGCGACTGAAACAAAAGTACGATCGGTAGGGTGTTACTCCTATTTCGCGTTGCCCTTCTCATCTATCGTTTTCAGCACATTGGAAGAAATAAAAATCAGTTTAATATTTTAAAAAGTGTTCTAATTTAAAAATAAGTAAAAACAAATAAAATGAAAAATAAATTTTTACTATATTGCAAATAAAAAATTGCCGCCTCAAAAGGCGTGCGCCCTGGGGCTATAGCCCATTTAGCCCTGTGGTTAGGGCGGCACTGACTGGTAGGGGAATTTCTGAATACTTTTCTCATCAAAGTTACTAAATGGTAAATATAATAAATATTTTGGAAAAAGCAGTGTTGGAATAAAAGTCAGAACTTAAACTGATCAGTTCTGGTAAACGTGCGAAATCTTAAAGAAATCTTAATTCACTAGCTGAAGCAGGCTTGAAAGTAAATTCAGTGGAATGAGAAAAAAAGCAGATTAAGGTACTAACATTGCTCAGTGGACATCTGTTTCTGACAAGGTTCGTGTTCTTTATTGACAAATTTTAATGCTGTTTTTATTTCGTGTTCTTTATTGAAGAATTTTAATGCTTTTTTTTTTTTTTTTTTTCTGTTTAGTCGACATAAGTTTTACTAGTACTTACACTGACAAGTGACATCAAAATTTTCTGAAGAATTAAAATATGATATAAGATCTTTGAGATATAATCAAAGGATTTTGTTAATTTGAAAAAAAAAAAAAAAAAAAAAAAAAAAAAACTTATAAGCTGAAGTCAAGAAGGAAAAGTGGGAATTTTAGATTTACAATAGAGAAGGAAGAAAAGATAACGGAATTATTCTGATTATTTTTCAATAAAAGAAAAATTAAAATCTTAAAGTAAGTTTTTTTTTAATTAACTAATATGTATAAGGTATTTTCTCCCTTCTTTCCGCATGCCTTCGTGGTGTAATTAGAAGCATATTCGAAGCGTGTTAGAGAAGTCCGAATTTCAAATCTCAGCGACGGCATTGCATATTTTTCTCGTCTCTAGCTTCAAAAACCTTAATGGCTCTACATATGTTAAAGAACTTAGAAATTTTTAATGTTAATTAGCATCACAAATCTTTATTGTTTTGTGTCTAATGGTGGAGTTTGTTTAGTTCATAAAGAGATCTGAAGAAAATTTGATCATTGTTTGGCTTTCTATTGAGGCGTTCCTTTTTTATGTCTTCTTTATGATACACAGAACTTTAACGCTGTTTCGAAAAGTCAAATCTTGTGACAACCTTTCATCAAGCTGTTACGGTTTATTGAATTTTTTAAATGTCTTTAAGAATACTCCCTTTAAAGGGAAATATTTCACTTTACAGAACAGAAATTAGTCCTGAAACAGCAACTAAGAGTGTAGGGTTTTCCTTATTTTGCATAACAAATTTATTTTAAGTTTGATTTCCTGTTTTAAACTTCTCAACTTTCCTTCACATTCTCTCGCCAGGATGTAAATTTAAAGTTAAGTGCTATTTAAACGTGTGAATATCACAATTTATTCAGAGCGTGTTTCGCTAGCCAAGCGCACGTTTCATTGTTATTTCGCGGTCACGCTAGTAAGCCTCTTGGCCTTATCAGATTAGTATCACTCCGGTTAGATTTCTGCGAGTCTCTTAGGCGTAAACTTAAGCCCGCTCTTGCACTATTTATTTCAGGTTTGACTTGTATTATATTCTAAGTTTTAGTTCCCACCGCAAGTGAACGGTGTTTTTGTGACGCGCGAAGTCCGTGCTTTTCTGTTAAATTAGTTTGAATTAATTAGAGGGTTATTTTTCACTCTTCTTCTGTGCTGGTAATTAATTCACGCATGTGCGAAAATTCGCCAGGTTCATTGTAGGATCTAATTTAGTTTATGTGGAATAATAGAGATAGGTTCCACAAGAGAAGTAAAGAGTGTGATTAAGAATAGTTAAATAATTTTTTAATGATGACTGATTGTGTGAAACTTTGAATTGTTAGATTGCTTGAAACTTTCTTGCTTCTCACATTCACTCACTAGTCCCCTCCACAAAAAACATTAAAAAAAATGATCGGCTTCATAAAATGAAGCAAAGAATTCCATTTAAATTCATAAGCAGACGATATGTTAATGCAGACATGTTGAAACGTATTAGTAACTACTGATGCTAACTATATTTTGGATAGTTCCCAGGGATTGGTTAAAAATTCCGTCAAACTATTTGTATATTTACTATTGCTTCTCATTTCCAGGTGATTGAATGTCTCAGTTAAAACGTATACTTATAAGCGTTCAAAATTTATTTATTTAGGCTTTGGTCAGTACTGAGAGTAGAGAAAGAAATTTCCTCAGAGAACAAAACAAACTAAGACTATGTAGGTTGCAGTAAATTTTCTTATCAGAACGATTTCAGCAAAGTCCTGAGGCAAAAATAAACACTGATGTTATATATATATATACACTTGTATGTATACAGTTACATCGCACATATTTCCAAGAAAGATCTGCAGACTGGATTTGACTTGAAATTGTAACCGTTTGTCCATGTGTCTTCTGTTTATTTTGTGGTTCTTTAATGCAGCTGAGAAAGCAGTCAAACAGGGAAATAGGAAAACTCCTCAGTATAAATTTTATTTATTGATTGAAGTTATCACTTGGAATGGTAGATTGGCTGAATTCCAAAATAATACAGGATTGATCACTCGATTGTAAACGTGATATGGTGAAAAAAAATTATTAAAAAGCACAAATAAAATAAGAGTGTAAATAAATTTACAGCTAAGTCAGGTATCAGAGACTAAAACTTCAAGAGAACAAATTCCCAACTTTCAGTATGTATTGTTAGACGACTAGCAAAGCAGTATATGGTTGCATATATGATCATTTTCAAACACCTTCTTTAATTTTGTACCAGTTTATGCTCTGAGATGGACGTATTTAATGAAAAATAAATATTTCATTATGTTCACATTAACTTATTTATTTAAATACTACTACAATTAAAGTGAATTTTTAAAATAACAATTCGTTTCGAGAGAAAAGTCGTATGTTGTTATGCATTGTATTACTGTAAAAAGACTGTCGAGAAATATGTTGACTGAAGTCCTTGACGTAGAAACCCTGAAATTAAAAATAAATAATTTAAAGATTCAGAATAATTATTTAGTGTATTCCAGGTATACTTTCTATATATACTAGTAAGAAATAACAACAGTTTGATTCTAGAAATACATTCTTGATACTAATAAAAGAAAATACATTAATTCTAGCTAGTAAATTTATGACTAAGAACTTAGTAGAAATTAATTAGGATAACTGTATATGTAAGCTGGATGTAGGAATCCCCAAAAAGAGGAACATATAACCCTTCATAAAAAAATTTATTTTTTGTTTCTTAAGTATTTCTTGTTTCTAAATTAATAGTGATAAAATAGAAATAACTTAAAAAGTGGTAAAGTGTAATTGAATTTGCTAAGTAATTGGTTGATTTTAAGGTCTGAAACATTTTTACTAAGGTTATGCCTATTTTACGGAACATGCGATTAATTAGGTTAAATTTAATTAAAGTTATTTAATTTATGTGAAATTTATGTGAAAGCTATTTATAAAGCTGCAACTCGTACAACAAAGTGTATAAATTTAGACCAAAACAAGTTAATGTTAAGCGTAAAAATAAAAAAGAGGCACACTAGCAAACACACTAAATTGTTAGTAATATCTAATTATAATCTTCACATTATCTGATCTCGGTCACTCAGACTTAAATTAATATGTTTTGAATTATTGAAGGTAATAAAAACACAGTTTTTCGCTTAACTCACAGAAACTTTTAAAAGTACGACAATTGCTACGAACACAGTACTAAATACGAGAAATCCACCCAAGAATTCTTATATATATGTAGATGGTCTAAATATGTTTCCGTAGGCTGAACGTTGAAAAATACCAACATTTATTGAAATTTTAAGGCTGAGTTGACTAGGGTACATTATGGTATAGAAGCGAGGAGTCGTTATTTAAACAAAAATTCGAACAGGGGAGTATTAAACAGAACAGTTCAAAGCTATTAAACGTGTCACAAATAGATTTGCTTTTTAATGCTTTTTATCATTTTGGATTTCCTTAGAAATTTATCATTTTAATGATTATAAAGAACTTTAGATAAATAATTCGCATTAAAATGTAAATATATTGTTGCGTACAGAACTCATGATAGCCTGATAAAACTTATTTTACCAAAAGAAACACTTTACAGCTATAGAACATTCTACAAATAAAAATACACGTACAGCTCTCCTCAGTGTGACAAAGCAAAATCAATATTTACCATTTAAATTACTAAGAACTTTAAACACTACACAATTGAATGCGCATCCAAAGAGCAAAGCTCTCTCTCACGATCTCTTAACAGCCCAAGGTCAACGATGAAATAAAAACTGAGAGTTGATGCTTTCTTCTGTCTTATGTAGTTTTGTCCTGGCCGCAGAGAAATCTTTTGCACCTTCCATTTCTCGAAATTACTGAAAGGCAGATATGGTTAAAGCTACATGTAAAGGCCGGATACGGTTAGAGTTACGTATAGGGTCAGTTGCAGTTATTTAATAAGGATAAGGATAAGGATAAGGCATAAGAATAAGGATAAGGATAAGACAGTTATTTAATTACAGTAATACATGAAACGCCCGAAACGTCGCCAAATTTGACGCCTTTTGACGATTACTCGCCAGATTTGGTGACAAAAATGGTCGCCAAAACCATCTTTAGATTGCAATATCTTGTCAATTTAGCAAGGTAGCCATTTACTTCGATGTAAAATAGGACTTGCTCCTATAGTCTTTCTTTTCCGGCAGAGCTTCGTATCTTCAGCCATTTTATGTTATATTATAACAAAAGACACTACATTTTCCCATATAATTTCATTAAAATTGTTTACATATATATGAATTTCGTAACGATATGAAATGAAAGAAAGAAAAACCATAAGTTGTGAAAATTGATGATTTGTTCTGATAGAAATACATATTTAGGTGATTAAAATTCTCCTTAACACCAACGTTTGAAAACCAACAAAAAGGATAGTCATCTTGTAAGTTATGTTATGTTAATTAACTAGGTACTGTGATTTTGATCTTTACAATAACTTCTTTCTTCCGAATTCCTCACAAGAATACAAATTAGTCTGGACTATATTTAAGATGAGTGTTTTGATTCTTAGGAGGGGAGCACTTCTGGAACTCGCGTCTGCCGTTAGTATTTCATCAGTTATATTTACGTATAGAAGGGATATTTCGGCTTAATATTAATTTAAAAGTGATATTTCGTATTTTTTAATGTGATTTAAAACTTAATTTAAAAGTGATATTTCGGCTTAGCATCAGCTGGCATTCTCACCAGCCGATGCTTTAAACTTACGCGCCAGTAAAATAAATAAACTAGCTTATTTCATATTCTTTTGAACCTGTAGTCTTAGACTACTTTACCCGCATTCTAATTTAATTGTGTGTTATTGCTTACTTTGATTTAGCCACAAGTGGTAGTCTGTAGCTCAAGTCGTGCTATGTTCAGATCACAATAAATAAAAAGACTAAAGTATAGACTAAATAAAAGTACTACCGCTGCGTCTTGAAGGATCACAAAGTACTAAACTAAATTAGTACTTTGTGATTCTCGACGCAAGATAACTCGCTATCGCGTCTTAGTAGGGTCTGAAAGATTTTATGTTTAGTTCTAGTTATCAGTAGTAAACCTACAATCTTATAAAACAGAATTTACTTGGATTTTGGGTAGTGCTTCATTTAATTTTCAAATTTTAATTTTATTTCTAGTTTACAATTATTCCTTTTTTCATCTTCTTAAAATTTAGCTGCAATTATTTCGTTTATCAAAGAAGCAGAAGAATGTAAAGCTTTATTGTAAGAAATGTTTGATCGAATCAAAAAAACATTTTTTAATGGATGGCACTAGGCATTTTAGGCTTTAATGGATGGCACTAGGCATTTTAGGCACTAAGACCAGAAGCGGTGGTCATTTTATTATGAATGCATCTAATGGGTGACCACCGTTACCTCCTATGAAAGGGAAATTTACATCCATACATTTACTTGTATTCGATCTCGATTCTATCGGTACAATGGTCAGAGTCACTAACCACTTTCCAGTCTGGGCAGCGATCGAATCAAAACTGAAAGCTACTATCTATAGTAAAAAAACTTAAATATATTTTTTCCAAAATTTAAACAAGATATTCAAAGATTAAAAAAATCAAATACCTTTGTCTCCAATTCATGAGGCTTTCCTTTAACCAATTCAAAAGTGTCCCTAGAGTATAAGATCACGTAAATTAGCGGTTCATCACAAGTCTTGTCTACTTTGCATAGAGTTTTCTTTATTCCTGCTTCTTAGAATTAAAGAATTGTGTAAAAAAATATACTCGCAGACTGAAGTTTTCAATGAATATTCAATTTTGTAATTATTTATATTAATTATCCACAACTCAACAAAAATTGGATTTCTGCGGTATAACGCATGGAATATGCAAATTAGGCGACTGAACATATTACGTACATCGTGCAACTGAACATATTGCGTACATCGTGCAGTATTTTACCAAGCTCAAATAAAACTGCAGAATAGTATAGAACTAACACGGCAACATGTGATGGTTTCATTAAGAACGGGTACTTTCTTTGTTATCGTTTATGTCTTCTTGTCTTTGTTATCGTTTATGTCTTGATTTTTTTTTAATTAAAAAAGTGCAAAATCTAAATATTTACATAACTTAAAACACTTCGATAACTCAGTATATGATTTTGACGAAAGGTTGTCGAAATAAACACCGTAAAAGTACTTATATATATAGGATGTATAGTACCAAAAAGAATTTCAGTTACAATAACTCAGTAACTGAACGGATGGAACTACTGAAAAATTTTGTGCGAATGAACAATTGAACACTGGAGAGCAGTTGATTGACAACTTGAGTTGTTATTGCAGCTGTCTGATGAAAGCCATACCAACGACGTCCTTTCAGAACTGGTGGAACGAGAAATTCAAGAAGCTCAAAAAGATGAGTGATTCTGAAAAAAAAAAAAAAAAAAAAAATTCTGAAACGCGCAAGAAGGCTACATGTTTAGTAACGGAATCTAAGAGCCAGTTTATACCTGATGACCCTGATTTGGGCAGAAGTTCGGAAGCAAGACAAAATTTTATGGATGCGACATCTTGTAAGTAATTTTAAAAATTGCTTCCTGAATGGGTAAAAGTAAATGACACGTGACACTAGGAAACTTCGCGTAAAGGCAAGGATTTTTAGAGATATTGAAGCCTTCGACAGTATAAACGTAAAATAAATTTTCATATGTGGCCAAAATTATATATGGGCTTGATTATACATGTTAGTAACAAAAATTAAACAGATGTAATTCTTTATTCATAGCCACGTATTTCCCTGTCTTTATTTACTTTACAATAAATGTGACCTTGTGTAACCCTGCTTCGTTAACCGCGGTATAGAGAAAAAAAAAACTGCGTTTAATGTGATTAATTAATCCACAAACAATGCGCGCTAAATAAAATCATGTCTAGGGATTCAAATGAACAGTAGGAATAATTATATTTCATTTATATAAATATATTTAATTTCATTTGTTTGAATTTGAAGTGTGTATATATGACGTATATTAGAGCAGAGTTTCTTAAACTGTGGGTCGCGACCTCCTTGGGGATCGCGGGACCTGCAGTAGGGGGTCGCCAAAAATTTTAGCAGTCTTGATATTTTTTTAAATTATTATTATAATTTTACAATACCAAATATTTTTACACAATGTATCTGAAAATAGACAAAAATAAGACAATACAGACAAAGAAAAAACGAAAACGTTTCGACACATTCTTTTTATAATATAAAAGTTCATTTTACTTTCTCTGCACTTGACGCTGTCATTTCGTCTGTTACTTATTTAAAATTTTCTCATTGTTCTATGTCTTAAAATTTGAATTTAAAGTTATCGACCTAAAACTGCAATATTATATTACAGTACAAGTGAAAAATTGACAGTTTCACTCATGCATATGTCGAATTTGCGCAATGCTTATATGTTCCCACAAAATTTTCGTAAATATTATGGGGTCCAGGGGTCGCGAAAGAAATCTCAGTGATAAAAAGAAGTGAAGAAAGTTTAAGTTATTAGAGAATAAAATTATCAATGCTTATAAAAATGAAGTGTTTAAATTTTTAATTTAAGATAAATATTTTTCTCTGGCTTATATTTAAAGAAAATGCACGCATATTTGAAATAGGGCTCAGCATGTCACGCTTTTGCAATATCTGATGATCGCTTATCAAAATTTGGATGGACTTCGAAGCTTTGTCCCATATCTTGTTTTAGTATCAAATAAAATTTCCTTAGTATGAGTCAGTGTTTTGAAAGTAGTTCAAGCGCTTTTGCAGTTGGCTCCTAAATGTCTGGTTTGGTTTTTAGGTTTGAGACTTGATTATGAAATCTCTAGGAATCATTTTTCATTTAAGACGAAGGGATATAAGTAAAGGATTTCTAGCTTGTTCTTCTTGAGTACTGCAAAAATAACTAAATTAATAAAAATTTAAAAAAGAAAGAAATAAAAGCCTCCCATCAAAGATTTATTGAGGATTTTTACGCTATTGCTGAGCATCGCAGATTACCAGTCTACTCTTACACTCACTCCTGTTAACACTTTAAAAAAAAATCTTTTAGCTTTATTATTAAGCATAATTTTTTTCGCACTTACGCCACATAAAATTAAAGAGAAAAATCGCAAAATATTAAAAAAAAAGCATATATTTAGAATTCCCGATCGAGCTTTAGGTGTTGCCATACATTTTTTTTAACATTCACTATATTATTTCTTTGAAAACTAGCCGCCAGCCGCCTAAAAGAGTCATTAGAAAAAGTATATAATGATTTTAATGAAATCAGCTAATGTTATTTCCCCTCTAGCTTACATCAAACTAACTATTTATGCAATTTTTTTGTTTCTACTCCCTATTTAGATATTTTTATGATGTGGAGGTACATGGTTTAGAACCATAGGCATTCCGAAATACTCAATCATTGGCACTGGCTAGTGTCATTTCTTAAAAAATAGTTAATATTTTAATTAGATATATCCCATGATTTAAATAGAATTTTATTTAAATTAATCAGATTAAAACGTAGAGAAAATATTTTAAAGTATTGCATCTATTGTTTTTCAATTACTTGGTTTGCTACTCGTTGTTACTACTTGTTGCTGTCAGTATAATAGAAAGATTAAATTTGAAAGTTTAATATCCTAAGCTGTAGTGAATGGCAGGATTCTGGTACGAGGTATTCTGGTACGAGGACATAATAAGTATTCTATTTGAGCCAGTGGCAACACAATACGCTCAAAAGCTGAATTTGTAGATTAAAAGTGAAAGATAAATATCTTACATTTTGCTTAAATGCAAAGGTCTGGCGCGCTGCGAATAAAAATATTTTATTTCGAATAGTGTTGCCATTTCATACTTTCAAATACCCGAGTTTGTTATATCAAATTTCGTTAAATTTGTACAAAATAAGAACTAAATCTAAAAACAAACTCGAAATTAAAATTTCGGGCTTCGAGTAGTCCATGCTCGGGTGGAGGACTACATGTATTAAAAATTCGGTTGCTGTGTACCGTCGTTTTTCCACAATGCGAGAAACATGCATACCAATATGCATATATATTCTTTATCATTTATTTTTTTAAAATAATACATAGTAATAATGCTTGTTGGTAACAATTTCGATAATGATTCTGACGCATAAGTGATATGGACAAAATGTAAGTTTCGAGAATAATAGCATCTCTTCTGCTAAAAAGAAAATCTGAGAGGATTCAGATTTCAACTTTGCAGCGAAGAAGTTTGTTCAACAACCGCCCCTTTTTTTTTTCCTTTTGAAGTTTATTATTAATCATCTTTACCCGTACCACATAAAATGCAACAGGCAAATCACAAAACTTGTAAAACACGTTTAGAATTCCCGATAATACATTGTTAAATGTTGCTTTTATTTTATTTTTTCCCCAATCTTTTCCTTGTTCCTCATATCAGTGTTCAGTTTTCGTACTAAAATGACTTACACGACATTTTTTGTTTTTTTATCATTAGCATTTTGTCTTTTTGACTTTCTTTAATAGACGTCAATTTATTCGCACTTACGTCATATAAAATTCAACAGCGAAATCGCAGTGTTTTAAAAAGTGACATAACTTTGGCAAATCCTCCCTAGCTTATAAGCAATTTATCACTATGTCTAATGCGAAATAGAAAAGTAAGAAGTGTAAAAGACCCTTTTATTTAAAAGTAAATAAGATGAACAGAAGACAACCCGGACAGAAGACAATTATGGCAAGAATTAAAAAATATAATTTAAAATTTAAAACTAAATCTAAGTATTTATTAGCCAAAGTCTACGCAGAGAAATTTAAACGCGGAAGTTGGCTCTTAAGCTTACACCGGAGTGAAAGCACAATTGCACAAGAATAAAGTAACACCGAAGAGAGGAACGCTTACCTTTTTTACAAGAATTTTCTTCCAGGCCTCTCTTTTTCTCGGCCATGGTCTTCTAGATAATCACTCTCAAAGTGACGAGGTACCCTTCCAGGCAATCGACCCATCTAAGTAATGGTCGGCCTTTAGTTCTTGTTCCAGTGGGCTTAGCCAGAGAAATTTTCTGCGTTGTGCGCTCCCTGTTCATCCTAATAAAAAGGCCAGCCCATTTAATCCCTTGGATTCTTATGCATTTCACGACTTCGGATTCTTTGTAGATACGGTAAAATTCTAAATTTGAGCGTCTGTGCCAAACACCACCAACTTGTATTCCTCCAAAAATATCTCTAGCATCTGCTGCTCAAAGATACTAAGGGAATTTTCATCTTTTTGAGCCATTGTCCAGGTTTCTGAAGGATATGCGAGTATAGGACTGATTAGACATTTATAAATGAATAACTTTGTTTTTCTTTTAATTAAATTTTATTTTAAATATTTCTTTATTCAGTAAAAGCATCTATTGGCAGTTTAATTCTCCTCTGTACTTCAGGTGTGATGTTGTTATTAATGTTAATCTCAGAGCCTAGATATATAAAGCTAACAATTTTTTCAAATTTATAGGTACCTATTTGCAGGTGAGTAGCAGAGTATGTTACCCTTCTGCATTGCATGTAATTATTATTCTCTTATGCGGCAAAATAATCTGTTACGCTACTAGCATATCACGGACTGTTGAAACTAATAAGCATATTCTAAAGTATGATTTATGTCTGAAAAATGTGTTTGGATTTTAATTAAAAAATCTCTCGTATAAACAATAAATACTTTTTTGTAAGCCTACTAAACATACATACTTGTAACTCATTCTAAAAGAAGTTTTTGTAGCCACTAAAGGAAACAATACAATTGTTTGAGGCAGAAAAACATGAGTAAGTAAAATAAGTAAAAGAACGGTAAAATACAAATTGAACGTCATCTGAAATCCAATAATTGCTGTAACAAGGTTCAAAACTAAAGGTGTTAAAATTAAATACAATGATTACTTATACTATAATTATCTGTCGTATCTTATTACAAGTAATTGCAATCTGTGTATAATAACCAATTTCAAAATTAAGAGTCTATTTAAATCTTGAAGCCCTCAAGAAGCTCGGACTTCAGATAATTATATTCGTTGAAATATTTGCAGCAAATTCCAAAGCAAATTCCAAAGAACGCTGCAGCTGAACTGCATTTGCTCTATATGGGTGCAGGAATGAAAGTATTGATGATCGGAAATCATACGATGTGCCACTAGAATAGGGATTTGAAATCAAAAGTCTTGAAATGCAACATAAAGGAATTCGAAAGTTTGGAAGTAACTTATTCACGCGAGTATTATATCTCTTGCTAATATCTAATCATGTATATGTATGAATTTTGAATTAAGTATGCGCCCATTTTCAAAATCTAAAGTACACAAAATGCGCAGAGTAAACATTACATATGATAAGAAATTATTTTTACTGCAGTTGCTGAATTTTAACGGATTGTATGCTAGCTATTACACATCATTACGTCAGTAAATTTGAAAACCATTTCAGAACTCGGATTTGCCTCACTGACAATAGCGTTTTCAGTATACATATAATTTCATTTAAAAAATAACAAAAAATCGCCCACGCATTAATTACTAAATAACTCTCTCAATCAAATTAAAAGCCTTCCACAAATCAATCTAAACATTGTTTTTAAATTTTCTGATAATGAATATAATGTTTGGCATTTTTAAGCCAAATTTAAAAAAAACATTGTATACTAAAGAACTTAATGTATATTGCCAGAAACATCAGTTAATAATTATAACATTTTCTGCAAATATGCATGAAAACAACAAGCTGGATATATTATGAATTAAATGTGTCTTAAATTTTACTTATTAGTTATATATATAGAACATAAAATAAAGATTTAAGTTATTAAGAAATGCACGTATTGCTTTCAAATCATTCAGTTTGTTTAGCTATTATAATTAATTTGAAAGGTAAATTTTAATTATGTCACATCGAATGGCAACACTCTCGGCTAGGTTCGGTTATTTGATTATGGCAAAGCAGACGTAGGCTTTCTGCCTTGGGGAAGAAAAGCATTCGTGAACAACTTTTAAAAGGAAACTCTCTCACGTTAAGGTATTTAAACTTCACGCCTTCTTAGCATGCCCTCTTGTATGTTTCTTCTTCTTGGTATTTCTCCTGCCGTCTTAGCATGCCTTCGTGGTGTAATGGTCAGCACGCTCGGGGTGTATTCGAGAGGTCCAAGTTTCGAGTTCCGGCGAGGGCACTGCTCATTTTTCATGTCTCCTGCTTAAAATAACCTTATGTCTGTACAGTGGCGCCTAAAAATGATGATTCTCCACCACCACAATTTAGTGATTGGGTCCCCTAATCCCCAGTCGCCCTTTAAAAGGAGGAGTATGTAAGGTATTTCTCCCGCCTTCGTGGTGTAATTATCAGCACACTTGGCGCATGTTTGAGAGGTCCAAGGTTCGAGTCCTGGCAAGAGCATTGCTCATTTTTCACGTCTCCTGCTTAAAATAACATAATGTGTCTACAACGTTATACGTGGGAAGAACAAACTATGCAGCCAATTCGTTCGCCTGCCAGCGGTACCAGGTCGAACTCCCAGTATTCCGCGGCCTTAACCACTCCACCGCCAGGTAACATACTGGAACGTGACTACTTGCAAGGCCGTGGGGAAGATAATTAAAGCCATTATATTTCGCACAGTGCCAAATTTATCTAGTTGCATGATTAATCAATACATGTTAACGTAACGTGACAGCTCAAAACATTTCGGAAACACTTCACTAACGTGTGTATAACGTCAAAATGCTCTGAGAAAGGAGAAAAAGCAGAGTTTCAATTTCGCCGAAATCCACCTAAGTTCGGAACCTAAGTCAGTCCCATAATTTTGTTATACGACTGATTCGCATGTGTACGAAAATGTTTCATTGCTAACTTACCGTTAATTTGCCGCTTGTATTTTGCTTTCTTTATCACTTAATTTTTAGTAGATTAGGTTCAGGTTTATGATGTTCTCGTGAAAGTATCCTGTCTTTAATTTATGTTATGTGGCGCAGAACTACGTGTTCCATTAGTGCGCTTTCCACAAGTGCTCTCCATCTAAAGCATTATAATTTTGTGAGAAATTAAAATACGGGGAAGAAAAGTAATATGCTTGTATAAGGGTTCAGGTGCGTGAAGTACATGGGAACTTTAACAAACTGATGTAAAAAAAGGCTTTTTTTGGCTGGCTAATAAGCTGAAGGAAAACTGTAAGAAGCTCCTTTGGACTAATTACATCTGAAACTTTATTTTTGCCCCCCTAAAATATTATATATATATATACATATAGGTACCGAAATATAGGGGCTCAGCAGGGGTAAGATGCTGAAGACTACTAACCTATTCCATTCTAAATGAACGAGGCAAGTTTCAAATTGTCCGCATGTGTAACGACAATACGAGATAGTCTTTCGAAATTGTAAACCTAACAAATGGCAAAGTCTGCTATTTTTGCTAATGCACCTTAAAAGTGTGCATTATTTTAATGTGGCCCTGTATGGTCTGATATTCAGTTTTTGATAGAAATCCATCATCGGAAGGTTAAAGCTTGCATACAGGTTGAAAGAGAATTATGCGCAACTGCATTCATATTTAATTCTAAAACTGTATTTTTTGGCCAAACATTGTATTTCACTAGGAGAAAAGTTTAAGCTTGTGGATTCTTTATATGTGTTGAAACACGGAAAAATAGAAAAAAGTTAAATTTAAATATTGATAAAATACAAATAATCAAGTTTTATGTAGCTAATTTAAAATTAGAAATATGAAAGAGTTCATTTCATGGATTTTTTTCCATACAAGAAATCTGAAAACATTTTACAATGAAAACGGGACAGAACCCACCAATGAGGAATGGAAAAGAGAAAGAAAACAAGAATTGGGTCCTCTGGAAAAAAACGCCCAACAATTTAACAAACTCAACAAAAAAAAAAAACCAAACTCCAGTGCCGAACTTATATAACAAACACTCATTAAAGAAACCGCCGGGGACGTAATTAAACTATGAAACCTTCAGTTTTTTCCCCGTAAAATATAATATATAATATTTAGGGCTCAAGCAGTACCGGGGTGGATAAGATTGCTGAAGACTACTAACTCTATTCATATTCTAGGGAACGGGCTAGCTGTATGGCAATTTCATAGTTTTCCGCATGTGTAACGAGAATACGAGATAGTTTCTTTCGAAAATCTTGCACGAACATACCTCTCGCAGTAAGCAGATAGCTCTTGCTTATTTTGCTATAATGCAATCCTTAAAAGTGTTTATGGCATCCTTGTGGATTCCAATGGATAAGGCCCCGTATGGTCTCTGATATTCAGTTTTTGAGAAATCGAATCCATCGCCTGGATTTAATGCTTGCAATACAGGTTGTAAGCGAAGTATTCTTAAACGCAACTGCCAATTCATTCATTCTCAATATCGAAAACGTGTATTTTTTGATGAATTCCAATGTTAGTTATACACGTCCTGGCAACTTAATGCCTGAAAACTGACAAAGTTCATCAGCTTTCTGGCATCCGAAGCTTGAATCCGAAGAATCAGACAGCAAAATTTGTATTCTTTATATTGCAATATTTCTTTGCATATAATTCTTACAAGTTATTTAATTAAATGCTTGATATAAAAATACAATTATATCTAGTTTTCAATAAAAAAATTATGGATGAAGTGTTAGATTCTCCATGAAAGAAATTTAAAATTCATTTCAATGAAAAACACTTTTTGAATACTTTCCTGTTCGAATGAAACCTAACAAATAGCAATAATAAATTACAAATATCCAATTTTTAAAATAAAATTAATCCTTTATGTACTTTGTCAAAATTTTATTCCGGCTTGCATAAGGTTTTAAGTGGAACAGCTCACATTTGAGAGTTACCAAGAAGTTAGTTTATCAGAGAAATAAAAACATTTTTACTCTTACGTATGTATCCACCACGTATTTTAATCCACGTATTTTGTAAACGTATCGAATTGCGCGAGCGTATTTGGGCTCATGGCCGCGATTATCATCCGAAAACAGTAAATATTTATTCAAACAATAATTTGACTCTTCTCCGGATGGAGACTTGCATTATTATTTCTCTTTTTATTCTCAAAATTTGTTTTAACAATTATTTAACTTTATATGGATATTATAGCTGAGAGAAAATAATATTTATTAGGGTTATTAATAAAAATCTTATTTTATCATGCATGTATATTTAAATTAATGCATTTACTTATTAATATGTTTATGTTGTGCTTTTCATTGACACTGTATATTAAATCTGCTATATATACATATAATGTATTTTGCTTCTGCTATTTTATTAAAAGATAAACTTAACATTCCAGGATACCACAGTAGACGAAGATGAATTAAAGGATATGGACAACTTTTTAGTAAGAAAACATATTTCTTTATAAATTTAATATCAGTAAACAATTTAGGACTGTTTTTTATTTGATTAGAGTACGCACATGAAATGAGAAGAGGCCTAAACTAATTATGTACAGCTTTAATGTTACAACATTTTTCAAATTCGAGAAATATCTTTCAAAAGAATGATCCCAGTATAAGTAAAGCTTGATTACGCTTGAATACACATACGGTGTAATGCACACAGTGTTACACATACAGTGTTACTATTACAGTGTTACATACAGTGTTACTATTACAGTGAACACATACAGTGTAATAGTAACACACTATAAGTACGTGTATTCAGATTTTACTTGGTTTGTTATTTAAATGTATCTTGTAGATTTCATGCATCTGTTAATCACATCACTACGATTTACAAAGTATTGTCTTTCTCCTCTCCGCGTATCTTCGTGGTGTAACTTCAAGCATAACGTGCGAGTAAACGGGAGGTCCGGAATTTGAATCACAGTGACAGCATTGCACATTTTTATGTTTCCTGCATCCGCATAACCTAACAATTCTACATGTGGCGCCCGAACTAAAAGGTGGTGGATGATAACTCGTCACCACCATGATTTGGCAATTGGATTCCCTTCTCCCTACTAACCTTTTAAAAGAAAGAATATATAACGTCTCCCCGCCCATCTGCGTACCTTCTTGATATAACTGAAACCACGTGTAGCCGGAAGATTCGGAGTTTGAATCCTGGTGAGAGCATTAACACATTTTTCACATTTCCTTCATCGATAAGCCCAATGACTGTACAGATTCAATTTATGATCTTAGTCAGTTTAGAACTTTTTTTGGCTTATTTTCTGCCATAATATCAAAAAATTGTCATTAGTGTAACTTTATAGTTGTTTTTTAAAATTTTATTCTACCATTACACTGGATGGAAGGAATGTATGGCGCATCATAATCTTTTAGGTTATATTCCAGAAGATGTTCCGACCGACCGCAACATGTCGAGAATAAAGGTGAATAGCTGTATTAGCTTTGAATTTATTGTTTTCGTTATATCTTTATTAGATGCGAACGAACTCCTTCGCTGAAATGCATACGACGGAATGTTTAAAAGACGGTTTAAAGACAAAAGGAAAAGTTTCGGTACAGTGTAATCTCCTTATATTATCTCGATGCGTAATAAGGGCTTATCTCATCTCAAAACAGTTCTGTCTTCTTGTTAATTAATCGAAATTAATTTGCCACAATATTGATTAAAAACATTTGCAACAATAACGTTGTACAAATGAATTTGATTCAAATATAGACTATTAATGAAAAGTAAACAAATTTTGTAACTTGATAATTAAAGTTCTGAACTGGTGATGGAGAGCAATCTTTTTAACTGCCCCATTAATAATATCAATAGATTTTTTAAAAAGGGAGCATTTCGATTTGAAATTTAAATTTTAGAAAAATCCAGCCGTTTACTAAAGTTAGTTTTGCAGGAAAATTATGTACGGTAGAGACACAGTGTTTATGTGAGTATCGTTTGCTTCATTTTATTGTTTCAAACAGCGTAAATTTATTTTGTTTTTCTTCCTTTAGTTTTGAACTTTATGTGTGGCAACAAGATAATTTGATTGATAGAATTGTGTTTGTGACAGCCATGTAAAATGGCTCGCTTATTTTGTATCAATTATTTCGCATCGCTGACATTTTATTTATAATTAGTGTAATGAAATAAAAGTGAAGGAATACAGTCCATTTGTTGATTAATTATTGTTTGTGAAACATATTAAGTAAAGAACACACGGGTTGTCTCTTCCTGGACGCCAGCCTCAAGTTAAGTGACCAGAGTACTCGGATTGTGCAAGTCTATCACATATTTCAGTGCTATATCCAGCTTCACAAGATGTCTTTGAAATTGTCTTGGATTTTATAGAAGTTCCTACAGTTTGTAAATGATAAACACGACTTTGGTTGTGCTACTTCTTACTAACATGGAAATAATTTTGTAATATCAATAATCAAATAATCGTGTGTTCTATATATATGTAGGTGACTGAAATTTTGAGATAGAAGCAGTAAATATACAGTCAAAGATAATTGCTTGTTAGAAATGTAAATTTGAACTCTTTTATGTCTACAGACGCTAATTTTTGGCAACAATTGCAATTTATCTATCTCAGAATGAATTTTCAAAGAAAATAAAATAGAGAATTATTGCGCTATGATTTTCTATGATTTTAAAGTGAAGCTAAATCAAGAAAATTGTCTTCAACGTCTACAGTTAGCATATGGACGGAAATGAAGCTGTATATTCGGATGGTTTGTAGAATTTCTGTGAAATTCTGTCCTATATTAAAAACATACAGGAAGAATTTTGTCAGCTGTTGTCCAGAAAATGAATCGGCTATGCGAAAAATGTTAATCAATTATATACTCTCAAATGATACAGAAGGAAATTCACATTCGATCTACAACTATACATAAAATTATTCACGAGGAAGTGCGCATGAAAAAAATTTGCTTGCCATAGCGTCCTTCATAAATTAACAAAACACTAAAATCCAGAACATGGTGGAAACAGTAAAGATATTAAAAATTACTCAATGACGGTGGACACTTGTAAAATCACAACTAGTGATGAAACACACATACTGTTCTTTTACATTCCAACATGTCAAAAAATTAAATTATGGGTCTTTGAAGATGACCTCAAATCAGTAACGGTAAAACCATAATGAGCAATAAAAAGTACTGTATGCCGTTTTCTTCAGCAGTACAGGACTGTTCAACAGAAAAAGTATAGAACTGGACAGAATAAAGTTATAGCTAACTGCTTTACTACTAATTGTCTTCTAGAAATTCTTCAAGAAGTGAAACTTAGGAGATTCGTGTTCCCCATGAGAAAGCATCTTCTCAACAAGACTGACAGCTAAATTTCTTAAACAAAAACATATTAAAATGACAGAACATCCCCTCTGTTCTCCTAATCTTGCTATATGTGACTTTTGGCTGTATTGAAATCTAAAATAAAAATTACGTGGTTGTAGTTTTCATTTTAAAATGAGATTGATGAGACCATAAAAATATATTTTTCTTTGATTTCAAGAAGTTTAACTTGTACTATTTGGCATTATCACAATTTCAGAGTGACTCTCGTATGTTTCAGAGAATTCGCAGAGTGTACAGGATGTTACTACTGCAGCTGCATTTCATGCTTGGAAAAAGTAAAATGAAATCAAATCTTCTAGAGAATTTCAAATGTATCACCTTTGAAAATGATTGCTTTAAGAAAAACGTGGAAGTAATTTAACTTTTCCAAGAAAATATTTCGACTAAGAGGAGTTATCTGATAACAAATTTCTCAATGAAATGTTATACCAAAAAGAGTGTGTAACATCTAAAAAATTTAAACGGATATCCTAATATAAAGTAGCAAATGAATAAAACTGACTCAGAGTTTTTTCAATGCAATCATTTTTATTCAAATCTGTGCCATTAATAATTTTTTTAACTCTGCTTACTAGGAACAAATGGAGCAACACAGCATGTAGTTTGATAACGAGAGAAACTTCACGGGGTACCTTCTATCGACTACTACCTCTAGAAGTGATTAGTATTTTGGAGAATATAAATACACATCGTCGTTTATCATAGTCTCTAAGGGGACCATCTCCACAGTAGATCAATATCGTTTACAGCCTTAGATGTTCTCTTTAGGAGGTCTCACTGTAATATACGGGCAGTTTGTAACACCCAGCTAATGTGTTAATTAGTTGTAACACTAACATTATGCTTCAGACACTCCCCTTTTGCCGCGAACTGTCTTATTCTGGATTAGCACCTTACTTGCAGTCGAATTACATTATAAAGTTAGACGAAAATAATCTTTGATGGTGAGTAGAATAAATTAACCACTCACCACCAAATCTTGAAGCATAGTAGAAGAGACACGCCGTTTTCAGAGCTCAGGAGTCAGACCACGATGAAAATCAGAAATCATCCAAATGCATTCTTAAGTCTTTGCATCTTGCAAACGTTTTTTGATCTCTAAAGATTATAAATTTAAATATAAAGATTATAAATAAGTCTTACAAGCGAATGCGTGCAAAATCTAAATACTTAACATTCTATGCATAAAACTAATAAAATTAACAAAAATTTAATTTACCTTCAGATTTTAAAAACGCGCTGACAAAACAGTGAAATATATGTCTAATGTATGGTTTCTGATCGCAAACAGAAAATACGTAGAATTTCTAAAAAAAACAAATCACATTTGCATTAAAAACCTGAAATTCGAAAAACCATGATTCACGGCATGTTATTATAATATCGATAACTGAGCTTGAGGCTTTAGCTACATGACAGCACAACATGTAATACAGAAATAACAGGAATGTTTCTGATAACTTTAAATTTCTAGCTTATTTTTGAAAAGGGAGCTTACATTCACTTTAAGGTCCGTCTTTTGCAGTTACGCAGAATTTGAATAAAATCAGTAAGATAAATGTCCAGCTCTCTCCGCGTAAGTATAAATGCAATAACTAAATTTTTAATTTAATATTATTACTAATTATATAATGACCTAATCTTATGAATCAATACCTGATCGTTAAAAAAAATAATTTTGTCTTCGAAGAAATTTCCATGATGGCATTCATAATATATCCAAAAATAATACCGTGTGTACTTAATAATGTATTTTGGAAAATTTCTTATCTCTGTGTTATTATCTCTGTTGTCAGTGAAAAAAATAAAATGAACAATATTTGAAAGGCTATTTGGTAATCTAGGGTGAAAAATTATTATTATTATTATTATTATTATTTTTTTTTTTTTTTTTTTTTGACAAAATCTGAACTTCAAAGGACAGTAAGCGTTACAGTTTCTATAAGAACGCTTTCAATTAAATGATGTAGTTAAATACTGTTACGATGTTTGTATTGTTACGGTTTTTGTATTTATTTAGCTATTTTTAGAAGAATTTGTAATTAAAATAGTTTTATAATCCCGTGCAATGCAGCATGAGACTTATCTGAAGAGAAAGCTAGGACGGAAAAATTAAAATACAGGAGCACGCGCATTTAACATTTTAATGAATAGATATCTTATAATTGTACTCTTTGGCTATCCAGAAAAATAGAGAAAATACCAGAATGTTCTCGTGCATGATTAAAAAGTTTATAAAAGCGGGAGGAAAATATCTCAATTCAGTTATTTATTGATTGACTGTTATTGATTGTATCGAGTTCGCGGTGAGATCGGATTAGCTTTCTCTGTGTTTTTGAATCAAGTTCTATTTAACGTTTTAGTAGTTTAAAATATAACTACTGTGAGATATTGCACGAATACCTTTGAGGAAATTTCAGGATTTTGTTTTATTTCTTGGGATAAGAACTTTATTAACTTTTTATCGACTTGTGCATTCAATCCATCCCGAACTCGTACGCACGCAACAGTATATATGCAAATAATTTTAGTGAAATTATATGTGAAATCGTAGTATTTTTTGTATAATGCTACATGAAATGCTTGAAAGAGACGAAGCTCTGGCAGAAAAATAAAAATACAGGAACATGTCTATTTAACATTGAAGTAAATTGGCGAGATTCACCTCTCTGGTAATGGTTTTGACGGCTGACTTCTGTCGCCTAGTGTGGCGAGAAATCTCTACGTGCGGTGACAATTTGACGATATTTTGGTCCAGTATCTGTATAACTATAATCAGCACCATAACTCAATAATTGTAACTGATATTTAGGTTTAACTGTAACCACGTCCGTCCCTTACATGTAGCTTTATATGCCTTTCAGTAATTTCGAGAAATGGAAGGTACTAGAGATTTCTTGGCGGCAGGTAGAAAACTATAGAACTTCGGAGAGAACATCAGCTGTGAGTTTCTTGGTTCAAAGTCAACTACAGAGCATTGGGACTTCGTTTGATCTTCGCTTTGCATTGCGTTGCATTTAACATTCTCAGCAGTTTGAAATGTAACTACTGATTGTGTTCTGAGATACTGAGAAGAACTGTACGAGCATTTTTGTGGAAAGTTCCAGAATTGTAAAGTGTTCCTTTTGGTAAAATCAATTTTATCCAGCTATCATCGGTTCTGTGTGCATTCAGTCTGTTACGAATCCATATGCACGCAACAATATTTTATTTTTTATTAATATGATTATATGTGAATACTTTATTTAGGCATTTTTATCATATTTCTATGGAACTAACTTACAAGGGACATACAGAGCGAAAGAATTAAGTTTAACAGTCATTCGGTTTATTTTAAATAAAATAAATCGGTTAATACGAAGTATTAGGCTTTTAACTTTAAAATTCATAGCCTTTTTATTTTAATGCGTAAATCCAGTAATAAATTACATAAACAATAAAGCAATAAATTGTAAATATGTTCTTATATTCTTATTTAAGCTGTAGTCTCAAACATTATTTAAAGTATCTCAAGGAAGTATTATTTTTTAATTAAAATATCCAATATATTATTATTATATAATAATTTCTGTTCTTTATAAATGCTTTCAAGTTTGTTACTTCTTTATTTCCATTTATGTATTTTTTCTACTTTTTACAGGTTTGTTTCCAAGAAGTAATGGATGGAATATTTGTTAATTGAATGTTAGAACATAAATGCAGTTGATACTGCAATAAACAGAAAATCATGCGCACAAATACCAAAAACAATTTATGTTTTTTAAATAAATAAATATTTTTTTAAACTTCATGTCTTATTTCTTTCTTCTTCTATGAAAGCACATTTAGGAATTTCACCAATTATCATAAATTTCGCAGCTTTGAAATCAAATGTTAACTGCATTTAGATCGAACTTGATCTTGAGAAGGAAGAAAAATTCCTATATTTTTACGAATTTGTAGCATGTAATGTATTCGTATGAGTTAAATTAATAAACTGATATTTAAACCAGTGACAAAAGCCTACTAACTTGACATCGCTTATTCATAAGTTATGAAATGCACTGTGTTTTAATCACGCCAATTTAACAAACTTAAGCATTAATAACAGCAAGTCTGAAGTTATCTTCTTTATAATAATGAAACGTAGATGTAAAAAAAAGTTAAGTCATGGCCATTCTATTAGGATGTCAAGTATCTAACAGTTATGCGTGAGCCAAGACTTATACAGAAACCCTATATTTCACATATAGTCTCCAAATTTCAAGTACATAAACACGTAAAGTCTCCTTCCTTAACCCATTAACTGCCAAATTTTTTCCTCTCAATTTACATTTATTTCTGGGTGTCTAGATTGACATAGAAACTGGAGATTAGAATATAAATGAATATCGATGGAAACTGCCATGAGCCCCAAATGGGGATCGACATTCAAGTAGACCTCACAGGAAAATAAAATTCACATTCCCAATAAACAGTTAGCAAATATATTCTAAAACCATTAGAGAACACGGCAGTACACAGGAGTTGGAAATGATGTATATAATAATATGACATAACAGCGTTTTGAAAATATTGAAATCTTAAAACTCAATCACTTGTAAGGTATTTCTCCCGCCTTCCTAGCGTGCCTTCGTGGTGTAGTGGTCAGCACACTGAAACCGGTATTTCAGAGGTCCATGGTTCGATTCCCGGCGAAAGCGATTGCTAATTTTTCATCTCTCTGGCTTTTCCAATTAATCTAATATCTCTACACACTTAACAATTACTACACAACAACTCATGCAAAAGCTTGAGAAAGGTTTAAAACAACAATGTAAAAAAGTAACCATTGTTGCCAACCTAACTAAAGTTACCAAATTTCCGCTACTAAGACAATTCCCCAAATGGACATCATGGCAGTTAATAGGTTAATTGCTCTAAATTTTCCTTTTCTACCTCTTTTCTTTTCCCCCTTGACAGTAAGGTACTCATTTTCACTTCTAGACGCGTACGAGATCTGTTTGGGACTACGTTCTTCAATGTCGCATTAATCCCTTGGAAAGAAATGGAAATGTTATCCTCCTGCAAATAGCCATCTGTATGCAGTTTTTCAGAAATTCTTATTTGCAACCATCTGTTAAATACAGGGTGATTCTAAATTACTTTTACAAATTAAGAGAGATGATAGTACTCATCCATATGAGCAATAATTACCACAGAACATAGGGTTGCATTCCACTATGAGAGGCAGAAAGGGGAATATTAGAATTCCAGTCTGAACTTACAACAGGGTTGGAAGAGCGAATGAACGAGACTAAATGTTGCCCAATGAGTTTAATGACAAACTCACAGAGAGTGCACGAAATGTGTAAAATCGAAAACTTGGCGTTGGAGTCTTAATTAGAGCTGAGACTTTCATGGCAAACACTCAACTGCACATCTTTGGTTGGCAAGGTCTCAACCTCGCAAACGATTGCAGCAAGTTAATTATGTAATCAAAGGCTGAATATGATCAACTAACTCCAACCAACTAACTGCATGCCGAGATTAGCATGAAAAGCTCATGCTGTCAGATGCTCATGCTGATGTCGTTCCGGCTGTCAGAACTTAGTATCCCATAGAATGGCGCTTTAAGTAGAATGATCGCAGCAGAGTAAGTCCAGAAAGACAGGATAGAAATGGTTAAGAGAAAAACAACTGCTACCTAGTTTTCCCCCTAATAATTTAGATAATTAACTTGTTGCAATCATTTGCGAGGTTGAGACCTTGCCAACCAAAGATGTGCATTTGAGTGTTAGCTATCAAAGTCTCAACTCTAATTAACACTCGAACGCCAAGTTTTCGGTTTTATCCGTTTCGTGCACTCTCTGTGAGTTTGTCACTAAACTGATTGTGCAAAATTTAATCTCGTTCATTCTCTCCCCCAACACTGTTGTAAGTTCAGATTGGAGTTCTAATATTCTTCCTTTCTGCCTCTCATAGTGGAATGCTACCCTATGTTCTGTGGTAATTATTGCTCATATGGATGAGTACTATCATCCCTCTTAATTTGTAAAAGTAATTTAGAATCACCCTGTGTATATCAGAGTACATGGATGGCAAAGTGACCAGACTTTTCTGAAACCAATGCAGGATAAGGTAATTTTGGCGACTTTAAAAAAATGAAACTCTCCTAAACATATTTCTGTTGTTTTGTTGTCATTTATAATCTTCCTGATCCGAACATAATCTACATAAGGTCTACGAATCCACTGTGGACAGAAGGAAGAAGTTGTTCCTGTCATTGCTTCTTGTTCATTTCATTGTACGAGTTATTGTGGAACGAGTTTGCCCAGCTCTGTTTCAATTTTGATATTGAACATCCCGGAGGACGGATCCAAAGGTTTATATTAATAAACTTTTACTTTGATACTATAACTAAGTATCCCGGCGGATGGATCCAAAGGTCTTCTGTAAGCCTCTTTCCCTACCACTAATCTCGGAAGAAAAAAAGGAAGAATAACTTAAAAAATTTCACTTTTAGGATTCCTACTAAGGACAGTTATAGATAGGTAAAGACTTCAGGGTCGTATACCTATTGAATAAGCGAAGACCTAAGACCTAACCTAAAGAACAAAGTTGCTACATTAGAAGGTTTGCTTTGATGTCTGTGACTCCTAGTCTGCTCAGAAACAGCTGTTCCCTTTGTGTCTTCCAAGGAGGTTAAGATTCATTCATTAAATAATTTATTCCCTTTAATTATTCTTTCTTAAAACGTATTCTTTTGGAAGTTAAGTTGCTTAGTAACATTTTGCGATGTTTTTAAAAGGTGATCCATTTAAAATCCTTCAGATGATTGAATTTCACAGCCCATCTTCCATTTCCGAAGCACAGATGAAATGGAAATCTCACAAATCTTTTTGTGGTCATCGCGAGATCACTAAAATACATATCTAGAAATAATGACTGTATGACTACTGAATATATATTCACTTCCAAAAACGTTGCGCAAAATGAAGTTATTGTCGTATCGTAACAAAAGATGCGTGTCAAGCCGTTACACCGCCATCGAAGGCAATAAGATCAGCTGTCAGAGTTCGACAGAGGAAGATCATTGAGATAAAGGAAATTAGGTGGTCATCTCGGCGAATATTCCTCCATCTAGGACATTCTGACTTTATTATTATTGTGAAGTGATGTTGGAACCAGTGAAAACAAAGAGGTCGCCCCCTCGCAAAGTAGTAGCTGAAAGGACCGTCAAATCAACCGACACGCACACACAGTGCCAATTGCATCGTTGTCCGCGATCTGGATACAAGCACGACTTTCAATATGGGTTTTTGTTTCTGACCGTACCATTGCGATGTGCCTGGCCCAGATACATTTGGTATGGCGCCGCTCATTACATATGCTAACAATGACACCTACCCACCGTCACTTTCCACTTCGAATGGAGTCGCGCTCGATGAGACTGAACCACAACCGAATGGAATCAGGCGATCTTCAGCAAAGAATCAAAATCCAATTTGGGATGTCATGGTAACCATATGCATTGTGGAGCCCTTTCGGTAAACGCTTTAATCCTGCCTTCGCTTTACAACGGGTCACTGCTCTCACAGCTTGTATGATGGTATGCGATGTCGTAGCATACCCAGCCACCTCTAATGTTGGTCCACGTCCTATCACAACCCAGCGTTACATTATATACATCCTTCAGCCTTCATTTGTTGCTATTCATGGTAAGGGTCCCAGGAGGCATTTTTCAGCAAACAAATACTCGGTCTCACACAGCAAGGGTGTCGTAAGAATGCCTCCGCCATATTATCCCTCTTCCCTGACCTACCCGATCCCAGATTCATTAGCGAAAGAGCATGTCTGAGATCACTTAGAATGTCAAGTTGGCCAGTCTAGGAGTTTTGTCGGACTAGAGGCCAGCTTACAGCAACTTTGAAATCAGATGGCACAAGACATTAGACCTGTATGCTCCAATGCCTGCTCGCATCACATCGTGCGTTCAGAGGTATTCTAACATTCATGCGTTCAAGCAGCAGGGTACTAGACTCACCATTCATTTTTAGTTTTTACTGTAATAAATCTTTTTGCTTTGGTTCTTACTTATACCGACGTTGTAATCATGTGTATAAAATTTCGTTCGATTTTAACAACTCTTTCTTGGTGAGCAAATTTTTACAGTAATGAGTGTATTTCTGATCCCATTAAAACATCTTCATGGTCGTATGGAGCTGCATCAGTAGAATTCGAGCAAAAAAATATTTACAAAATCCGGACATGTTTAAAGAATGAGTTACATTTTTCGAGATATAACCTGAAGCAGGATACTGCACCAAAATGCAAAACTATTCTACATCATCCCATTAAGTTTAGTCACTTTAATAAATGAAAAGCAAGCAATAAAACTTCTGAAATAGAAAAGTAACTAGATGTCCCACAAAGTTCAAGACGTCTACCCATTTTATTAGATGATAAGAAAGCAACTTAATCATGTTTCTATATTAAATCTACTATACTCGTCTTGGATTATGACTAAAATGCTACTAGCGATAGAAAGATTTAAGACTGCTCTATCTAACATTCAGTAATAGTTTATCAGTCAGTTAAAATTACTGCTTATGATTTTTCTAATTCATTTATTATCTTTATGCTTAGTGATCTGTTTGTTTATTTACCACCCCATTTCCCTATTCTTTTTGCTTTCCTTTCAAAATTAGTATCGTATCTTGAAACGCTTTATCAGATATTCACTGTTTCCCTCTTGACCCAATGCCGCATCGACCACTTAGAGCGTTGTACTGCTTTTAGATAGTGAACAACTGCATTTTAAGGGATATG